TTGCTAGTGAAGTAAAAAGGATGTAACCATGTATTATATGACTCGCGGTTGTATAACAGAAAGGAATGAGAACACCTCAGAAGGTCGGATGCCCCCTGCCTCCACAACCCCACCCTACCTATGCTCCCAACGCACTCCATCAGATCTGTGGAAACCGGATATAGCCTTCAATAAAAGAAATATCCTCAACTGAGTGACGTTATTCTAAATGAACTAGTAAATCCATAAGTTGATTCAGATTTAGTCTTTACTTGACATAGAAATAATCATAATAATTCAAGCATCTGGGGCTCCTGGTGAAAAAGTTAGGTAATTGTACAAATTGTTCATCATTAATAGATATTGAATACCTTGCCTATAAGGTGGGAAATAGCATATTATGTCACACTCTAGATAGACATAAAAACAAGCACAACAAATAAATACAAGATGACCTATAACATGCAGGAGATGCCTTGGCACAGGAAAAGAGTATAGAAATTGAAGGGAGAAAACAAATCACTTTGAGTACTGATGCACGGAGAAATGTCACAGAAGAGGAGGGATAATTTAATGCGGACTTAAAGTACAAGAATGGTTTGTATAAAAAAGGAGAACGTAGAAGAGTATTTTATATGGGAAAATGCATGAACAAGTAGAACAGTAAGGAATTTCCAAGGCATGCCTAGAGGAAAATAAGATTATCGGTTAAGTAAAGTAAAATAATAATAATAAAGACTAGTGTGAAAAAAAATAAGAATGCATTCAACCTGGTGAATGACTCAATATTAGGACAAAACAGAAAAAGCAAAAAGCATAACAGATGAATCAAGTTTTGAGTTTGGGGACTGAGAATTGTGGTTTTAATAACAGAAGTAGAAGAGCCAGTGCAAAACTAGTTTGAGACAAAATGAATGATGAGTTTGAGGTGACAACATGACATCCTAGGGGAAATGATAAGCAAGCAGCTAAAGATATGAAACTGAATCTCAGTGGAGAAGCAGAACAGGAAGTGTGGATTTAAGACTTATCAGTACTAAGATAATCACTAAGACCTGCGAATGGGTAAATAGCTGAAGTGAGGCAATTAGAAAGAAGAGGTAGAGGAGCAAGAAGTGTCCACAAAGAAATCAAAGAAGGAGCAGTCAGAAAGTTAGAATGTGCGTATTAACCCAAGAGCAGAGTGAGGAGAGAAATGCAAGAGGAAATGATCAACTGTGTCAGGAAATTCAGCTGAATTTGCTGACAACCAGTTTACCCTTGACAGCAATTTCAGTAGACTGGTAGAGGTGAAAGTCAGAATGCTTTCAAGAATGGGCTAAAGAATGAGTTTATAGAAAGGGGATGGAGATAGTGGCTATTGACCACTTTGAGAGAAAGAACATTTTGAAACTGATAGATTTGCAGCATCATCAAGGAAAAGGATGAAGTCCTCCTTTTGTATTGTTTTATTTTGTTTTTTAGGCTTCTGGATACAAAGGGGAGGAATCCAATGGAGAAGAATGGACGATTTTGGAAAGCAGTAAGAATGACAATCCCTGAAAGCTTAGTGATAATAAGACCTAATTTTTATATGTTTTTCATTATCTTCAGACACTTTTACACATATTTGTCAATTTTATTTTCATAATACTCTAATAAGGTAGATACTATTATTATTCCTATTTTTAAAACGAGTAAACGGAGGCATTCAGAAGTTAAATGACTTGCCCAATATCACCATGTAAAAAGCGTTGGGGCAAGAAATAAACTCAGACAAAGGAACTAGAGGCATCGTTTGCTTGTGTGCTGGGCTATCTCACTTTCAAGGATAAAAGAATTTTTGCAATCTATCCTTCTGTCAAGGGCTGATATCCAGAATCTACGAAGAACTTAAGCAAATTTACAAGAGAAAAAACAAACAACCCCATCAAAAAGTGAACAAAGGATATGAACAGACACTTCTCAAAAGAAGACATTTATGAAGCCCACAAACATATGAAAAAAAGTTCATCATCACTGGTCTTAAGAGAAATGCAAATCAAAACCACAATAAGATACCATCTCATGCCAGTTAGAATGGTGATCATTAAAAAGTCAGGAAACAACAGAGGCTGGAGAAGATGTGGAGAAAGAAGAACTCTTTTACACCGTTGGTGGGAGTGTAAATTAGTTCAACCATTGTGGAAGACAGTGAGTCTATTCCTCAAGAATGTAGAACCAGAAATACCATTTGATCCAGCAATCTCATTACTCAGTATACACCCAAATTATTATAAATCATTCTACTATAAAGACACATGCACACATATGTTTATTGCAGCACTATTCACAATAGCAAAGACCCAGAACCAACCCAAATGCCCATCAATGATAGACTGGATAAAGAAAATGTGGCACATATATACCATGGAATACTACACATCCATAAAAAGGAATGAGTTCATGACTTTTGCAGAGACATGGATGAAGACAGAAACCATCATTCTCAGCAAACTAACACAGAAACAGAAAACCAAACACTGCATGTTCTCACTCATAAGTGGGAGCTGAACAATGAGAACACATGGACACAGAAAGGGGATCATCACATACTGGGGCCTGTTGTGGGGTGGGGGGCTCAGAGAGGGATAGCATTAGGAGAAATATGTATAGCATTAGGAGAAATAATGTAGATGATGGGTTGATGGGTGCAGCAAACCATCGTGGCACATGTATACCTATGTAACAAACCTGCATGTTCTGCACATGTATCTAGAACTTAAAGTATAATTAAAAGCAAAAAAAAAAAAAAAAAAGAAAGTAAAAGGAATGACCCCCTTCATGAGGCTGCAAGGAAGTGAAGAAGGCAGTTGTACTGTTTTATTCCAGGATGAAAAGAAAGTACCCGAGCATCCTTATACAATATGATGTACCCAGTTATAAAGTTCCATCTTGAAAGTAAAAAAGTAAGGGATGGATTAGGATGAAGACTTAGGACATGAGGAGTTTGATGAAAATTTAGAAGAGAAGAGCGCACACTGCAGACTCAGCAGCAGAAGAATAAAACCTGTTGAACACCTATTGTACCCAGTTAAAGAGGGACTCTAAAGATTTGTAAGACAAGTTCAGCATGGTTGTCCAGAGGGAAGGATGGGAAGATTTGAGTTTGGAGATAACCCAGTAGGCAAAGCTGTAAGGTCAGACTTGGGAATGATGTTAGGGTATTAGATAAAAGTTAATTAAATAAGAGATTATGTCTTACAATTAAGGGCATTAAGTTATTTCAATTAAAAAGAAAAATTCCTGATAAATTAGTATGCTATTGACCCAGTATCTAACAAACAATATTCATAAATGTAGACATCAAATTGGTAATTCTTTAATAAGACAATACAGATTCAAGACTAAGGAACTGAACATTCCATTAAAAATGTTGTATTGCTATCTTATTATTATTACTGTCATTATTTTGGTTCTGAATGGTTCTTTATTCAGTATCAATAAACCTCACACTCAAAAAGACAAGATCTATTATGAGGATTATGTGGACTGAAAATAGTTGTCCAATTTCACACAGCTTTTGTTCTTCTCAGCCTAACTAAACAAAGGCTGAAATATGGATAAAATAGAGTCTATCCTTGCGGAACAGTTCCAGAAAACACTCTCAAAATATCAAAAGAACGAGCTATATCACGTAATTGATATCTGTAAATTAAATCATAACCTTATCATAGATGACAATTTATAAGAAAATGGTAATATTATTATCAGAATTATTAACTCAAATAACTAAATGGATTTCATGGCTGTTGGTAAATATTAAATCAGAAAGAATTTCAAATAATATGAAATAATTTTTAAAATATTATACTTTCTCTCATATACTTATTTTCTAGTCCAAGAGTGGGACACAAACAAAGGTCAGATAAATGTCATATTGAATGTTGCCCAAAAACATTTATTGGCAAAAAATTGATATTATAAAATTCGTTTAATCAAAATTGATCATGCAGTTGTCACAGAAGCTATTAAATATAAAAATCTATTTTTTCCTTATGTAATAGTATTATAGTGTTTGCTTTTAGAGAACTGTTTGCATTTAGACAGAGTTTACCGACATTTTTTTCTTTAAAAATGCCTCAGGCTCCAGGGAGTATTATCCAACTACATTCTGGAAGATGATCTTGATTGATTTCTAAGTTTAGAGATGTATTTAATTGGAGATCGATATCTTGTAGAATAAATGCTTTTAAACAGGATTTTGAATTTCACAAAAAGATTTAATTAAAGTTTAACCAGTCCATTATTTTAGGAAATTTTCAGGGTCTGAGCACCTGTACTAGCCAGAATGCCCTTAACGGAAGAGCAAAGGGCACTTATAAGTAAGCCCCATATAGTTTAACTGCTTGTTCCTAGAAAACATTTATGATTGAATTCAAAAGTCAACTATAAATATTTTTTACTTGTTTTGTATCATACACAGACAGACAGACGCGCACACACACACACATATACACATTTCAGGTATGAAACACTTCATTACTTTTTACATATCCTATTACTATACACAGTGAAGCAGATAGGTACATTTTACAGTAAAATGTGAATATTATTTTGCAGATACTCACAGTAATTCTAAGTCATTTTTTGCCCATTGACTCTAATTATAAGTGCCTCCTCAACAAGGCACTGTAATTTAAGGAAGGTTTTTAGGAACACTGAACTAAGACTAGAATATAAATTAATAATGGCATTTTGTGAGGTTTTGAAAAATGTCTTGGAATTTCCACCATGGAGTTAGAACATGGAACAATGAAAAATACAAATCAGTGAATGACTTTGGAAAAATATATAAATGGTTATTATTTCCCAAGTTCAATTATTATCTGCTTATAAGGTAATATGCTTTCACACAAATATTTAATATTCTTTATACATTTAGATATTTAATATTTAAATATTTCTAACACATAAGTTTTCTCCACATTTAAGTTTTAAAAGTCAAGTGTAATGAAGGTTCACAGCACAGAATAATCCTCATTTTGGGGAGGAGTTCTCACCTTGTTGCATGCATTGTGACTGAGGAGGGTGTGAGAATTATCCTGTTCATCACTCAAGGAGAAGGACAGATGACTGAAGGGTCCTGGGGCAAGACAGTCAGCCTGTGAGAGGGTCTGTGGATGCAGCAGTGACTTAGCAGGAGGATAGAGTTTAGTCTGATATAAAGGATGGAGCGAGACAGGCTTGGAAGGGACTGTTACATCCTGGGGGGAAGAAGAAAGGCATAAGAGGATGTTAGTGTAAAAAAGTCAAGCACATTTGGAATCAGGTCTATGATAGACATAGATCAGAATCTCTTACCAGTAAGAAGAAAACCTCTCCTCATGAGGAGGTGTCCCTCATGAGACACCTGCTTTCAGCGTATAGTGTGTGTCTCTTTCAAAAATTCCTTTCATTCCCCACCTCCAGCCTCTTCAGCAGAACAAAACAAGTGCCTGCAGAATGTCTCCTGAAGCGTACCAGGTTTATTTTTGAAAGTATTAAGGGGAGATATGTGTAAGGAAGAAGAGAATCCATCCAAAGGAAATCCATCCAAAGGAACATCATCATGGAAGAGGTAGGTAGTCATGGAAATTAATTTAAAGATGCTTGTGATTTTTGTCTGGAAAAAATCAGGGAGTCACGGGGAGGGCATTGTGCAGAATATTAACACGTGAGGGCAGGGGCAGAAGTACAAGGTTTAGTTCATGACATAGTAAGTTTCGGAGTTGAGTTTGTCATGGATAAGGAATCAGGGAGAGGTGGGTCTGGAAAGAATGAATGAGGTCTTTGATTCTAGGCAATGTGTTGTTTTGGAGAGAAACTCACGGTGCAACAAAGAGAGGAGTGCAACTACAAAGAAAGGAGGTTATGAGGCCTAAACTAGAGTGACTCTTTAACATGGAAACAGGATGAATGCCTTTGAGGAAGTAGGAACTACTACATGAGGCCATAAATTATGTGAATGGAGCAAGGAAATCAAAAGAGTACGAAGTCTTGAGGCTACAAAGAAAAGTTGCAGAAAGGGCCTACATACAGGTATGTGTCTTCTACAAATCAAGCAAAACGAATCTATATCTTATTTTACCCACTCAGCACAGGCATACATTTATTATATTTAAAAGATAGCATCTAGCAAAGACATGGAATCAATCCAAATGCCTACTGATGATAGACTAGATAAAGAAAATGTGGTACATATACACCATGGAATACTCTGTGGCCATAAAAAGGAACAAGATCATGTTCTTTGCAGAGACATGGATGGAGCTGGAAGCCATTATCCTCAGTAAACTAATTCAGGATCAGTAAAACAAAACACCACATGCTCTCCCTTAGATGTGGGAGCTGAAAAATAAGAACACATGGATACATGGTGAGGGAACAACACTTGCGGGGGCTTGTCCAGGGTTGTGGGAGGAGGAAGAGTATCAGGAATAATAGCTAATGGATGCTGGACATAAGACCTAGGTGATGTGTTGACCCATGCAGCCAACCACTATGGCACACATTTACCTATGTAACAAACCTAGACATCCTGCACATGTACCCTGGAACTTCAAAGCTGAAGGAAAAATAGAAACTTAAATTTAAAATTTAAAAAGATAACATCCTCTTTATAATATTCTGTGTGTTGTTTGATTTTTTTTTATTTGACAGTTTTGGAATTGTTCTGTATCAGTACACAACAGCTATTTATTTTCTACCAAGACACATTACTGAATTATAGTACTGATTGTAATTGTCGTTCACTTGATTCTCTTAGCAGTTTTGGGTCTATCATGAAAAAAAATCAGTTCACCTAACACAGTGATAAATTTGTCTCCTCTTTGCCAGTTATTATAGTTTTCATTTCTTCCATTTGTCTAATTTCATTGGTTAATGCCTCTAACATTGAATGAAAATGAAATGAAAGCCATGTCAGTGGGTGGCTTTAATGGAACATATGCAGTAATTGTCCATTAAAGATGATTCTGACTTATAATTTTGTTTTATTTCTAAATCAGACATTTCATTGTTTTACCAAGTAATTAAATAAATTATTAATCAGTGTAAAAGTGATTAATATGACAACCGAGTAGCAAACACAAGACTAACTATGTGAGAAAAGAACAGTGTTATTATTGATAGTTGCAGATGCTTAGGAAAAGTGGTTTGAACAGTCTCTGGTTTATATTCAGGTTTCAGTTTTTTTCTTGGAGGTTGTAAAAATCAATTCTCAGGTTGTCGGGGGCAAGTCCATGGTCATCCATGGAAAGCAACGGGTTCACCAAATGCAGTTATCTGGCAGAATCAAGTTCTATCTAATCAAGAGGAAAATGTTAGCAGAGAGTGTGCTACTCTGTGTTTTGTGCTTCTAAGTTTACCTTTGCCAATCCCCAGCTCTTAGGAGTAGGTCAAACATGAATGTTTCTGTAGGATCAGGTGTTGTCCTCACTCTATCCAGGCAGCTGGGCAGCGAGGGAGAGCAGAGTCTTACCAGCACTTGGACAGGCAAAAGACAGCTAAGAACCTTGGCCAAGCTCACTTGAGTACTGTCAGTTGGAATACAACACAAAGGTGAAAGGATTCTTGGTGGTGACAGCTTCAATATGTATGTTTCAATCTGTGCTAATTGCCTTCTATGTTTGTATACTTTATTATCCCGTGATTCTCTTTAGCATAATCCTGGGTATTTAATTTGTCTCTCTCCCATGTTCGATCTCCTGTTTCTTTTTTTCTTTTCTTTTCTTTCTTTTTGAGATGGAGTCTCGCTCTATCGCCCAGGCTGGAGTGCAGTGGCGCAATCTCGGCTCACTGCAAGCTCCGCCTCCCGGGTTCACGCCATTCTCCTGCCTCAGCCTCCCGAGTAGCTGGGACTACAGGCGCCCGCCACCACGCCCGGCTAATTTTTTGTATTTTTAGTAGAGACGGGGGTTCACCGTGTTAGTCAGGATGGTCTCTATCTCCTGACTTCGTGATCTGCCTGCCTCTGCCTCCCAAAGTGCTGGGATTACAGGCCTGAGCCACGGCGCCTGGCCTCGATCTCCTGTTTCTAATAGCCTGTGTCTTACTTTTTTTAAATTTTGTCTCATATTTACTGGACCCTAAAGGAGCTTCCTGGGAAAATGGAGTATTGGAAGCCAATTTCCAATAACTTGCATGTTGAAAACTGACTTTCTTCTACTCTTACATTTGGTTGTTTGAATATGAAATTCCAGGTTGGAAAATAATTTCTTTCAGAATTTTGAAAGCATTATTATACTGGATTATTGTATTGTCCAGCGTGGTTTCGAAACCCAGCCATTTTGATTTCCGATTATTTGTAAATGACACTTTTTGTTGTCCTCTCCCTCTGGAAGCACACAGGATTTCTTTTTGTCCTCAGTAATCCAAAAATTCCCCAGTATGCGCTTTGCCATGGGTATATTTTCATCTACTTTTGTAGGAACTTGATGCCCTTTTTCTGTAACATTTTGGAAAATTTTCATGAATTATTTTATCATTTCCTTCTCCTTTTCTTCTCTCTTCTCTTTCTGGATGTTGGACTTTTTAAGATAGTCCAATTCTCATCTCTTTTTCTTTTGCTCATCAGCTTGAGAGGTTTAGTTAATTTGTCCTCTGTATTAGTTTGTTCTCATACTGCTATAAAGAACTATCTGATACTCAGTAATTTATAAAGGAAAGAGGTTAAATTGACTACAGTTCCACATGCTGTACAAGAAGCATGGGTGGGAGGTCTCAGGAAACTTATAATTATGGCCGAAGAGGAAGCAAGCACATCTTACTATGGCGGAGCAGAAGAGAGAGTGAAAGGGAAGTGCTGCACATATTAAACAACGTGATTTCATGAGAACTGTTTCACTGTCATGACAACAGCAAGAGGGAAATCTGCCCCCATGATCCAATCACCTCCCACCAAGTCCCTCCCCCAACACGGGAGATTACAATTCAACAAGAGATTTGGGTGGGCACACAGGGCCAAACCATATCATCCTCCAACTAAGGTGACCCAGGATAGAGAGGTTTCCCAGGAGTGGGACTTTTAGTGCTAAGACAAACTGTGGTGAGTTAGTCACCCCACCTCCAACTTTTATACTGCATTCTTTGTTTCTGCAATGTTGTGCTTAATTTCCAAGAGGTCCTTTTATTTTCCAAGTATTCTTTTTTTTTCTTTTTTTTAGTATTGTGTTTTGATTTTATAGAGGCACTATCTTATCTATCTGTAAAAATATTGATGTTCTTGAGTTTTTTTCCTCTCTAAATAGTGTTTCCTGTGTTTTTTGTTTGTTTATTTCTTGTTTGGTCATTTTTTTGGGTTTGGTTTTCTGTTCTTATTTCATATTGGAAGTCTTCCTCAGGTATCTGGATATCTTTAATTATCTGCTAATATTTTAGAGTCAGGAATTAAGAGCACTTTGGAAATTCTGAGCACATGGATCAGGCTATTTGAGTTTCACTGTACAGTGTAACCCAATCTCAATAACTTGAGAGCTTTCCTCTTTGTATTGGTCAGATTCCTCAAAAAAGACATTTTCAATCTCCTGGCTAGAAGGCAAAGGCCTGCCTACAAGTGTTCTGATATGTGAATGGAAGAGATAGTGCATGTCAGCATTAATCCCTCATAGCATCACTTAGTCTCCTGCTTTCAGAAGAGCTCCACTGCTCTCCACTATGCCGGGAGGCCCCAAGCCAGAAATCCTGTTTTCTTCTCTCTAGTCGTGAGAATTATTCTCTTAAAATGGGAGTTAATCAGTCATGAAGAAACATGAATTTGGGGATAGCTACTTCTTAAATAGCTTTTACCTTATCTTCCTTTTTTCAGCTAACATTTCTTTACTTTCCCTTCAGAGGTATCAAGCACCTCCAAATCCTAAGCCTTTTGAGAACTCTAAGATAGAAATGGAATCAGTACTTGGCTTTCTCCCTGGCCAGCCTAGGATTTCACTTTCTTGGGTTGCTATGTCAGTTTTTCCTCATCAGGATATTTTTCTGCCTTTAAAATTCTATTGCTGTGTCTCCTCTTCTTACTTCCTATACTTGTAGATTATATCTTTACAATACATCTTTACCATAATTTAAAGGAAATATTGGAAGGAGCATATTTAGAGGCATTGTTCAATCCACCATCCCTTACTGAAAGTCCTTAAGAGTTCTGTTTTGTTCATTTAATAAAGATGGCACTTAAAGTCTAAGGAGACAACTATGTTATTTTCCACTTGCATTAAATCCTACTTGGTAAGCA